TTTTGTAATAGCCTTTCCTTCCTTTTTGTGTAAATGGGTTCCTCAAGTCCTCATCAGTTTGTCATGGTGATCAGCACTTGATTGAAATTTTAGTGGGGTGGTGAAGTAATGACTGCAGGTTTGGGTGTTCGACCGGTTGGGAGAGACCGAAGGAAGCAATGATTTTTTTCGTATCCGCTCTCGCTTGTCTCCCCCGGTTCTTCTCCGTTCACCCTCTATATTTCATGGCTTTACTTGAATTACCGGTATCTCTCCTCCCTTCATTCATTGCCAACGTTTGTTTCTGTTTTATACCGGTTCAGATATTACTTTTTTATCCTTGATGTTTTTTGTTGGATAAAAAGTTTAGGACCATTTTTTACACGAAAGAGATGAGAATTTGGAGTACTGCTTGCTATAAAAAGCATTGACCCTTTGGCTCTTTCTCTTTCTGTATGAAACCCTTTTTTTTTTAATAATAATGTAGGGACAAAGATTGGACATGATAAGGGCCAACCAGGCGGTGGAGGAAATTAATCATAATGCACAAAAAGTGAGAGGGTGAAAATGGTGGTATGGAGAATTATTTATAGGGGTGAAGAGGCGGGAAAAATGAGAGGTCTCTCTACCAGTATCTGCTGAATATGGTTATTCATTTCTCATGCGTGTCAAATTTGTGCCCTGGTGCGAATTTCTTATTAGGAAGGAAGCCGGAAGGAAAGGAAGGGGTGGTGGTGACGCTGAAGGTATTCCTACTCGAGTATACCAGAAGGGTGCGTAATTGCGTGGGATACAATAATAATATCAAAGTGCTCTAAAAATTTCACTCCACATCACTCGAGCGAGGACCAGGCTGCGAGGTCCCTGGGGCTCTTTGGACTACCGGTATGATAGGTTGAGGTAAAGAACCTAACCTAGGCGAGTTCCAGGGGTAAGGTTCGTCCAATCTTTGTGTCTCGTGTGATCTTTCGCACCATACCGCAGTTACCATGCTTTTCTTGTACTGTATCATACCGGTGCTCTACTAGTGCACTCCCGTACCTTGACCAGTCGGAAAAGGCTTGAGGGCTTCACCAATATTCATGCAGATCAGCGGGAACGAAAAATGTATTCCTTTTCGGTTAATTTAGTTTGAAAAAACGGAGGGGAGGAGAGGGAGAGAGAAGGAAGGGGGGTGGGAGTGGCAGGAGGGAAGCTGGTTTCCTTATTCCTCCTTTGGTATCATACTGTAAAACGGGAAGAGCAATTGTACTATACAGTATTGTTTTTATTCGCCGGGGTATTTTTTTTGATGGTGCTGTATTATATGTAACTTATCTTGGATCTGAGCTATGGTATGATGCTGCTTCGTCCTCGGACTCTCTATTGTATTGTATCATACCACATCAGGATATCATAAGATTCTGATTTCTGGGGATTTCTATTTTTTTCTTTTCTTTTTTTCCCTTTTCACCTTTTTTCCTGAAGCTGCCGAGGGACAACTTTGGAAGTGAGACAATTGAAACGGGGTTTTCCTTCTGCCACACCGTACTGTACCCTCCTGTACCATACAGTACACAAAAAACTCTACTAGAGTACCGGTACCGGTACCGTAGACTCTTTCTCTTTCTTTCTTTCCTTTTTTTTTTTTTTTTACCCTTTTCTTCTCTCCAAACTCCCATCCTTACCTTCCTACCCAAGTGCCACTCTTTTATTTTTTTTATTCCTATTTACAGTATCCCTTTCTTCTTTTCTTCCTCCTCTCCTTCGTCCTTATTTCACAGCCACTACTGCCAACAAACAGGTTACGCATCATATCATACGTCGGCCGACACAGACGGTCCGACAGCTAGCAAGCAAGCAACCTTCTACTAGTCTTCTAACTACCTCCCTTTCCATCACTCTCCCTCCTCCCCGCCATCTGTCCAACTTACGTTCCTATTTCCTTTCTTACTTGACTTAACTTAACTATTTTGCATAATTATCCTGGAGCTTTGAGACTGTCGCTATCTCTCGGATCGTTAACAACTTGAACCCGCTTTTTCCATACCTGCCCGTGCACACGTTCACAGCCTATCTTGCCTCCTGACTCCCCCTCATCCCTCACCACGCTATCCTTTGGTCCGCTTACTATTTTTCAAAATAAATTTGAGATTTCCTTTTTGGCAAAAACAAATCTGTCGGCTAGATTCACTTCTTTCCCTCTTTTTGGGCGATGCCCCCGAAATCTAAAGCTGAGATACAGAAGCAACGGGCAAAGGTAGGGTTTCTTTTATCCCTGGCGGAGGTGGAGAGGGTGTGTGTGTGCGGGAGGCTGATTTTCTGGGGTGTTTGTAGCTGGTGAATTCATACAATGAGCTCCTGAGGTATGTGCTCCCTTGAATCGATGGAACTGGGAAGCGAGAGCTAACGATATAACCGTGGCTGTGGACAGTGAGTTTTCTTCAAAGGATTTGAAGACGGTGGGGAATTATAATCTGGGGAAGTTGATTGGGAAGGGGAGTTTTGGGAAGGTTTACCTTGCTACGCATAAGCTTACCAATGGATCTAAGGTAATCTTTCCTTCCTCACCTCTAAGCTAATGAGGCTCCTAGAAAGGAGGAGTACGGCGAATTGATTTTAAGGCGGTATCTCTGTGTATGTGTGTAGGTTGTGTTGAAGTCTGCGCAGAAGGACGACGCGAATTTAGCCCGGGAGATTCATCATCACCGACAACTGGTACACCCACATATTGCGAGACTTTACGAGGTTATTGTTACAGAGAGCTTGGTTTGGCTGGTGTTGGAGTACTGTTCCGGTGAGCTCCCATGCTCATTTGAAGTTGTGGGTCGGAGTTTGGAGGCTATGGGATTGCTGATGTTGGGCTAGGGGATGAGCTTTATAACTACCTCATCAAGAACGGGAGATTGACGGTAGACAAGACGAAGAAGATATTTGCTCAGCTGGTCGGTGCGGTTTCGTACGTGCATATGAACAATTGTGTGCATAGGGATTTGAAATTGGAGAATATTCTGCTCGATAAACATGAGAATGTACGAATACCTGCTGCGGCTACGGGAATTGGTGGTGATGGTGATGTTGAGATTGTGAGGTTCCGTGCAGGGCACTCGGTAGCTGATGCACTGCTCTGGATAGGTCAAACTGTGCGATTTTGGTTTTACAAGAGAGTACGAACGTCAGAAATTGCTTCAAACCTTCTGTGGAACAGTCTGCTACTCGGCTCCTGAGATGCTTAAGGGCGAGAAATACATGGCGCATGGTATGAGCTGGATCTATTTTTCTTCCTTTATACCTAATCCTTTCCATTGCTGTTTTCTCCTGGCGGTGCGACGTGATATTGATACTTGTTTGAATTCGGCAGCTGTGGATGTTTGGTCATTGGGCGTTATTCTTTATGCACTACTTTGTGGGGAATTGCCGTTTGATGAGGACATCGAGGACGATACCAAACTTAAAATTCTCAAGGACGAACCTAAATATCCTGGAGATTTGCCCGAAGGTATCTTTTACTGAAGTGGGGAACCGAGCCACAGCCCCCTCGTCTCCTTATTTTGCTTTTTCCGCGGCTGACGGTCACTGCCCCATTACAGATGCCGTCTCGCTATTAAAAGCGTGCCTTATGAAGAAACCAGGGTTGCGGCCGACCCTTGATGAAGTCCTGTCACATCCTTTTCTTGTGGAATATGCTCCAGCACAAAAGGCCATTCTTGTCGTACAGCCATCACCTGCATTTTCGACCCGGTTGGAGAAGGATACATTACACAGGATGAAAGCCGCTGGGGTTGACATAGACCAAGTAATAGAGAATGTGCTTGCCAAGAAATGCGATGCTCTTGCTGGATGGTGGGCATTGTTAATAGAGAAGGAGGAGAGAAAGGAGAGGAGACGGCAGAAGCGGAAGATTGAGAGTAGGAGAATGAGTGCAGCTTCTAATCTAGATCCGACGTTGTTGCCTCTAAATGAAGAGTCGGAGGATCAGATGAGGCGACAAAATCGTGAGTATATTGCTTTTGCGTCTCCAATGCACGAGATGCTTACTGCTGCACCAGCTGTGATTATCTTGCCCGAGCGACATCATGGAAGGAATCCCAGAGCACAAACACCCCCGTCTCCCACCCCGCCTCCGCCAGTCGAGAAGGATAGGGATTATGGACCGTACTTGAAGCCGCCGCAGCAAGATAGGCAAGTTATGTCGTCCCCGGATCTTCACTCGGAGGTGAATGGCGGGAAAGGGAGGCAGAATAGGAAACATGCTCTAATGACCCAACTTGCGTCTTTAAAGCATTGGTTTCTGGATTCAGCCAAAAGGGCGACTTCTCCAAATTCCAAAAACAGCTCGAACCATAATTCGGCGAGCCACAATGCCAGCCACGGCTATCAGCCATTTCAAAATGGACTGGGTTCACGTTCGGGGAACGGCGCGCGGAGGAATTCGAGGGGAAACGTAGCGTATAATTCTAGCTACCGTGGGACCCCACCACCGAAACGAAATTCCCTCTCCCCGGGCCCGTTAACACCGCACACATCTTCATACCGCCGGCCATCAGGTCGGGGTCTCGGTGGGCGAAACTCAACCTCGTCATCAGTGTCTTCCATCCGCTCCTTCCATAATAAAACACATTCAAAGGCCTCCTCCACATCATCTGCGTCCATATCAAGCATAACGTTAAAGTCCCCGCGCTCCCCACGCGGCTCAATTAAGGTCCTGCCCGCAACTCCCACTTCCTCCACCTTCCCGTCACACGTCCGCGTGGTGCGCTCCTCGCCCAATGGCCAGGGATACAACGAGGCAGCAGTATTAACATCGGGTGTAACCTTTGCCAAGCGGAAGAAGAGCCCATTCAAGGGGCCCATGCTGAGTCCAGCAGCCCTGCATGCAAAACGTGAGAATGCGGGCGCGAGGATCGCCCAGAAGCGGAGTAGAGGGAATATCATTGAGGAGGAGGATGAGGATATCGAGGAAGTATTTGAGTTTATAGGTCCAGGGGAGAGTGAGGATGAGGATACGCTTAGGGGTAGACATAATTAGAGTTTTTTTTGTTTTTGTATTTTCTTGTCGGATCGGATCGGCTATGATAAGCCGTTTTTTTTTGTTCTTATCCTCTTGTTTTTGTTGTATTTTTGTCTTGTTTTGCTTATCTTTTTAGGGTAAGTTGGGTTATATCATACTGCGTGCTGGATGCTAACTGAGCTCTAATTTTTCCTGTTTACTTGACTAACTAACGATCTGCAAGTTTTTCCTTCCTTCTCTCTTTCCTTTCCCCGCTTTTGCGACGAAAAGCGCTTTCGTTCGCGCATCTTTTGATGGCTTATTATATCCCTTTCTGTTCTACTCGTATTCATTCCCTCGTTCTCGTTGCCCACTTGTGGCTAGCGTAGCACTAGCGTCTTTGGTTTCTGTTAACGAGTTCATACCCCTCCTGGTGTGTTGGGCAGGGGGGCGTGATATAGAAGTGTCACTCTGGCTGCCATTGTCATGGAATGAATAAATTTTTTTACTGTTATAATTTTTTTATATCGAGGTGGGGATGTTGTGAGTATATATATATGGTGCAAGGCGTCTAAAGCGTGTACTGTACCAATGTGGGCGCACCCGTGAAATGCCTAGATTTATAAGGGGTAAAAGGGTTCTGAGCATTTTACGGCACTGGATTTTAGAGATCCAATGATCAACTCCAGTCTATATTGTTCGTTAGAAGGTACTTGTACAAGTCCCATCGACAGGCGCACAATCTGTCACACAATTAACTAATTTAATAGGATTAATTTCAGACATGTAAAGTATTGAAAACGATTAAATAAAAAACCAGACATAGGCCAGAGTTAAACCTTTGATTAGCAAAACTCGCATGCCATATTCAGAACCCTTTATACCCTTTGTAGATTCAGGCATTTCATGGGTGCGCCCGCATTGGTGCACTCTTTAGACGCTTTGCACCATATCATAAGTAGCAGTCTGTTTGGCATGTATGATACAAAAATCTCATGGTTTTTTGTCTTTTCTCAGCTTTTCTTGCTTTCTTTCTCAGGCCCTGTTTGGCATGCTATGATAGAAAAACTATGTATTTCTCTCTTATTCCCTGTTTTTCATCTGGATTGAACTAGAATTTTCATATTATGGTGTTTTGCAGGGACAAAAGTACCGTGGTATTTTAGTATCGTACTCTGTATTTTTATTCTCTGCATCCTTTTTTGTTAATATAAGTAATATAATTTGTACTTGAGTATACCCAGTTAAGTACAAGGTACTATCTATTATTATTATAGTCAAAAAAACTTTGGGCTTGCCGAATACCAGTATTTCCATAAAACCTCTGTTTTTTTATTCTAAAGAATAACTTCATTTTCAACAAAAACAGAGTTTTTCTTATTTATTATTTGTCATGCCAAACGGGGCGTCTCCCCCCCCCCTCAGTATTTTTTATAAACCTATTATTACTATAGGGTGTAATTACCGCCTTTGAATATCCACCTGAACATTGTTGCTTCTCCAGTAGCTGTTATTAGATATCAGGATAAAGTTTATTTTGGCCTTCATTTTTTTTTAGCTCTTTCGGTGATAATACTGATATAGATAAATTTTGACAGATTATTTAAATTCTGAAATTATGGTGGTTTACCGTTCCATATGATACCCCGTTCCGTCCCGTTGGTGATATGCTAGGGCGGAACCTCTGCTGCTTCCCCGCGCTCCCTCACTCACTTGTACAATACTAGGTCGTGGGCATTATATATCTAGACTCGTCAACTTTTCCTTCCACTCGAATAGTTTACCGTCGCCACCACTGCTAGAAATGAGTCAAAGGAGGGGTAATAAGAATGAGAGTTCCGCATGGGTGGAACATCTCCACCGCTATGCCGCGGACGATGGGGAGAAAGGGCGTGAGCGAGTGAGGCTCGATGATGGGAGTAGAATTCGGGAGTACCTAGGGTAAACCGGTGATTATGAAATAGTGGGGTGCTCCAAGAGCGGGATGTATGGAGATCTAGGGCTCTGGGAGGAGGCACTGACCGTGAGTTTGTGGGGTGAGGGTGGTGGGGAAGTGGCGTTGGGGGTTGGTGGGTATGGTGTGAGAAGGTATGATGCACCCCGGAAGATTTAAGGGTGATTTGCTGGACTTATTCTACCGTACTTTCTTTTGCTTTGGCACATTTAAATGAACCGCCTTACGTGCCCATCCCTGTTCATAGCGGCCGTTGCATAACCATTAGGGTAGCTATGGGAACTTGTCCATAGTGTTTATTCTTTATGTAAGTGAAGGGAGTAGTAGGGGGATTTTGGCATGATACTTTTCCTCACTACTGCCCTTGGTCCATTGGGAAGGTCCTCGGGGTCCACTGGATGGGTGCGGAGCCAGCGACTTTGCTCGTGAGTTGCCGATTGGGATTATGTTCCGGGATATGATGTGCGATTTATAATGCTAGAACTTGTTTTCCGGGGGCGGACATCTTGCAGTTCCTATGATGGTTTGGTCATATGTAATAGTAGATACGCCGGAGCGTAAATGGGGGTATTTATCATAACACTCGTAGTGAGCTGTGTATGTTCTATGATAGAGCTATGATTTATGGGGCTCGTGGGAGCTCGCTGGCACCACCGCTCGAGTAGCTCTCTAGGGGGGGGGGGGCAAATTGCCGTGGTGGACCTGTTTCTACATCCTAATATCCTACCGGTGTGTTTGCTGACAAGCGCAATGCAATTCAACCGTTTAGAGATTCCGACAATTATCGAATCGATAGAATCACGACGCAAAACAGACTTGAAAGATCCATCGCATCGAGTGAGTGTGAGCGTTGCTGCATTTTCTGGCTTGATAGCCTCGTTATCCTATCCACGTCTTTTGAATTTCTTCTAGAACTTGTAATTTACTCGTACGGGGAGAGCGGGGTGGGACTAATTTAATGAGTTTCAGAGGTCAACTTTCGTTAGAGAGAAAGACTTCGAGCGGCGTCGGATCGATCCAGGCGAGCCGCGGGGAAGATCCACAATCATCCGGAGGCCGGAATGGTGCTTCCGGTTCACCGGGACATGTGATTTTTTTTCCTTCTTTCTTCTTCTATTTCTTTGCTTATTTGCAGGCGAGGGTATGATAATTCATCTGCCGGAAGTCGGACTCACACCTTCCCTCGCTGCTCGGGTTAACGCGGCAGTCTTACAGAGCATCGATCCTTGAGAGCTTCTTCGAGAATGGGAACTTTTGATAGGTGGGGAATAGAAAAATTTAGGCTGCTGGTTACTGTAATAATAATATTATGATACCACTTTCATTGCCCACCAAGCGTGAACACCATGGTGGAAGCTTGGGCAAGAGCAGAGCGCTCAGAGCCGGTATTGGCAATTGGCCTGGGCTAGCAGCACAGTGGGGGAAGTGGGGGCCGTCGAGATGGGTCGAAGGACAGGAGAAGATGTAAGGTTCTACTTCGCGGCTCTGCTAGCTGCGCCCGGAATTACTCTATCATTCCTCTTCTTTTCAACTTCCTTTTGGATCGCCTGTGGAATATTACCCTGGGTTTGGGCGAGTACAGTACTCGTACCGTCTTTTCACCCGGCCCCTCAGCGGGGGCGTCCGGGGTGGAGTGTTGGCCATATCAGGATGAATGGGCTGCCCTTTCGAACGTTGCCCAGAGTTAATGTCGGTAGAGTAGCGTGTGGTATCATAGCCCATCGCACTCCCTGGCATTCATGACTTTGGAGGAGTTTTCGAGTGATTTCTGGTGATCCTGAAAACAACTCCTATGTCTAGTAACCTACAATACGAACACCCCTGGTGCAAGAGAGTGGTAAAAAAAGGTACAAGAGAGATTGGCATAGTGGACGGGTAGATAGTTGCACGAATTCCGATCGTCTAGCTCGCATTATCATACTGTCCTGCGAGCGTCGTATGGCACTTGCCTTCGGAAGGGGTAGTATAAGCAACTAATTAGAAATTCCCCCGCCCCCTGGAGGCCTCGAGGATCGGTATATACGGTCTGGTGGGATCTGGCTTATTGCTGTCTGCTGCGTGTTCCTTCATTCCGCACAAAATCCGTTTCACTATGGATTGAGATATGTTTTTGGAATTCATGGGTATTTTGAAATTTGTGATCAGGAGTTTAACCCATTAGGGGGTGTGTTTGGCAGACATGATTTGGGTTTTAAATCGTTGTTCGGAACCGAATCACGTTCTGGAATCATGGGGTGTTTGGCAGAGCGACTTCAAACCATGTTTTGAGTATTGAGTATGATATGCGAGTTGCTTTGGCGTCTCATCGTGTGATTTGGGTGATATGTGTTTAGGGTTATGTGGATACAAGTAATAAAAATCAATGCAACGCTGCGATATGGTGGTTTTTTTGTTTTCCCGTCTGAGAGCCAAGAAAGACGATCAAATTTACTCGATAACATGCCAATTGACCTGAATTGCAATCCAAATCATGATCAAGCTTGTCCGGGGGGGCGTTGGCAAGGAGTGATGATTTTCGGGGTTAAGAACTTGATTTCGAATCATAATATCACGATTTGAAAACCTAATTCAGGTTTGTCAAATCGCCCCCTTATACTGAAGAGGATCAACTGATAGGCGGAATAAAATTTTTTATGACGAGCACTCTTGATTCTTGTTTTTAATTTCATGTTATATCAAGTTTTGTAATGCAGTACTAAGGAAAATCGCGTTTATTGTTGCTATAAATTTTCATCGATAAGTTATAATAGGTGCCGAACGGAGCCTTAACTAATCTTCAACGTTTCCGGGTGCCAGCATCATGCATTGCTTTTCCCTGCGGAAAGGAGGAATTGGTTAGAGGCCTTAGAAATCACCCACGGATATTCCTTTTGAGGCATTTGTACGGCGGTATGTCCGTGAGAATTCAACATATCATCAATATAATAATATATTGATTACCCTGGAATCATACCGTCGACCCAAACAAAAGTCTAGGGGTAAAAAAAAAAAAAAGTGTGTTTTCAACCATCGTGCTCCTCCAACGGATCCTCCATGACGGGAAGGAAGTAATACTCTCCATGGCAAATGAAGGACATGAACGTACTGCTCATGCAGTGGGTCGACTTTGTATAGTAGGATGGATAGGATGATTCTCACTCTTGCCCCCGTTCTCAATCTCCGATTCTGGGAGGTAATGACCGTCCGATTCCTCGTAATGCTCTTGGAACTTGCTTCAGGGATTCTGGTTTGCCTTGGGTGCTGGATTTGCTTGTATGATATCAAGCAATGTGATTATTTCCACTTCAAGAGGTGAGTTGCTTGGCAATTCATGTTTTACATCCTACCCCAGAAGTGATACCGGTAATTCACTTTGGCGCCTGAGTACTGGCACACTGCTAGGAGTGCAGGAAATGATGGCACGAGTATCGGTTCTATGGCTAGAATCGAGGTCTTGTGCATTTGCTGTGGGTTGCCGGTTTTTATTTCCTTATCTCTCCCGTTGCGGGGTATGCCGCTCTAGAATATACTGTAGCTCGAGACTCCCCAACACTTTTATTCTTCCCTCTTCCCTCGCCTGGCTGACAACCATCTTTACGAATATTAGAACATATTCAATTCCTACGCCAACAAAACACAACCTCTTCCAATTTAGGGATCCATTGATAATATGGGCAATCTACTATCAAACGTGCGCTCCTC